GCTTTTCTTCCGTTTTACCCATTCGTAGCCAAGCCCTGCTGTGAACTGTGGTTATTTGCTTATATCTTTCCACTAAAGTACAGATTCCTTGAGATTCAAGACAAATTGTTCATCATTGAGGTCCAACATTGCAGCTAGTATAGTGCCTTGTATATAATGTATATTAAATGAATATGTATATTTAAATAAGAAGGAATTTGGTAATCATTTTTAGCTCACTTGTTCTCACAATACACCTGGTATTCTTTGGAAAGAAAATAAATAAAAGCCAGCACATAGAGTTATACCCCAGACCAAATAAATCATGTTCTCTGGAGGTGGGGCCTTGGCATCATTTTGTTTGAGGCACACATAATCACATGCTTGAGAATGACTGATCTAGCTAAAGTGTGCTTGATTTTTGCAGTGTGATGTGGAGGTTCAGAGTAATGATTTGGCCAGTTATTCTTGAGAAATCAATTTGTGTTACCACATGTTTTGTAGCCACCAATTTTGTAGGAGATTATTTGTTATACCTCAGCAGATTTGCTCTTAACCATATAGTAAGACTATGATTAGTAGATAATAAATTGTACTAAACTGGAAAAGTGTTCATTTCTTGTGAACGTTTGGACATCTTTTAGATAGATAAACTGTTATTTCCCTGAAATAATGGCATGATCCATGACTTTTATTAAGATGTGTTGGATAACTTGTCATATTCTTGAGGGAGGAAATTGCCGAAGCTGAATAAACTAGCTATCTGGTCTCCTATCATTAAGTATTTTCAGTAAGTGTTCTATTTGGGACGTTAAGTGCCCAGAGTATGTATAAGGTTGTGCTTTGTCAGTCTAGGGATAAAACATTTTGTGAAGAAGTCATTTTATATTTTTTTTACTCACTGTGTCTCATTTCATCCTCACAACCCCTCTAGGAGGAAAATAGAGCAACTGTTTGACAGATGAAGATACTGAGTTAGTGAGAAGCTCAGTCACTTAGATCAGATAGTAAGTAGTCAAGCTGGACTCAGAACTCATGATTCCTTACGTCTGACCCAGTGCCCTTTTCACTACTCTGTAGAACATCTTAGTCAGTATTGAGTAAGACTCTAAGGCAATGCCCAGGATTTGGGTCATTTTTGAGGGGTATAGGCAGAGAGAACCTGAAGGAGATTGTTAGAAATAAAGTAAGGCAACAGGCAGTTTGGTTACATGTGTCAGTAACCGTTAGAAGATGTTTAATTGCCATTCACCTGCTAGTGTGTCTCTAGAAATCTGAAATAATCTGATACAAGTAGATATTTTTTTAAAATTTAAACTGTTGTTTAGAAGAAAAACCTGGGAATAGCATGTTCAACAGTAGGAGGGATAAGGAAATGTTGGTATAGCCTAATAATCTATATTATGGAACTATTTAAAATAGACCTGTAAGAAAAATTAGTGACATAGGAAAATGCTTATGAACTTATGCTAAGGAAAAAGGTATCAATTGTATATAATACAACGTATGAAGGAAAATATATAATTGTAGGTGTCTGCCTGAAAAAGAGATTGGATTGTATGACAATATACCAAAATGTTAACAATATCTAAATCTGGTTGGTGGGATTAGAAGTCATCCTTTCTGGGGCACCTGGGTGGCTCAGTTGGTTAAGCGTCCAACTCTTGATTTCGGCTGAGGTCATGATCTCAGGGTCCTGAGATCAGCTCCCTGTAGGGCTCCACGCTTATCAGGGAGTCTGCTTGAGTTTCTTTCCTTCTGCCCCTGCCCCACCTCCACCTGTACAAGCCCTCTTTCTCTGTCTCTCTAAAATAAATAAATCTCTTTTTAAAAAGTCATTATTTCTTTTAAAAAAATGCCTTTTTAGGGGTGCCTGGAGGCTCAGTCGTTAAGGGTCTGCTTTCAGCTTAGGTCATGGTCCCAGGGTCCCGGGATCAAGCCCCACATCGGGCTCCCTGCTCAGCGGGAAGCCTGCTTCTCCCTCTCCCACTCCCCCTGCTTGTGTTCCCTCTCTCGATATGTCTCTCTCTGTCAAATAAATAAAATCTTTAAAAAAATAAAAAATAAAATTTAAAAATGCCTTTTTTTCCATTTTTCCCCCTATAGTGATTATTAGGAAGACATATTTCATAATAAAAAGATCATGAAAAAGCTTTTCTAGAAAAAAAGTTTGTCAGTGTTGCCAGTGTTTGTTGGTGATTATGTCATGGCTTAGAAAGCTCTGGTGTAAATACTGAGCAGTTAACATCTTTTCACTGCATTTTGATCAGCATAGGCCCAGGTACTAGACTTTTAGTGACTTTAAATTGCAGTATATTTTATTGTCTTATTTTGAGGAAAAACTCTGTCATGTTAGATTTCTTGTGTGTATTTCATATTAGCTCATTAGAACTTTTTTTTAAAAATGAGATTTGGAGTAAAGCTTGAGAAATCAGGAAATCTTCCTGCTGCTGTCACCCCGGTTAAATAACCAATTTGATCATTGTCCAAAGGCAGAGTGTAAAAGGTATAAACACATTTTACTTTCACAACAAAATTTAGTTGGTAGACTTTGCTAGAAATCATTTAGGTATATTAACCTATGTTATTTTCTTCCTTGTGATAGCTTTGTAGGCTTAAGATGAGGATAAGTTTACTATTTGTTTAAATTTCCCATGATTATTATTCATCTTTCTAGAAATAATAAGCTATTCAGAAGGACAGGTATCTTTTTATGATGGCTGGGTACCAAACTTTCATAAAGAAAATGTAGCATTTTTATTTTTTTGAGAAGCGTACTATATAGCCATTTTAAGAAACTCTTTCTTAAATGTCCTTCAGAGAATGTTATTTTAAGTATGTTAAACTTTACTTTCAGAAGATGAGAAAACAAAATAACAAGTTGGTAAACAGAAAAAGTGAAATAGAATCTTCAAAAATGAAAAAAAATAGAATATTCCTTCAGTTTTTCTTTTTTTAATTTAATGGAGGAAAGTTTGTTAATTTTCTTTTAAATTTGAAGATACAGGGGCGCCTGGGTGGCTCAGTCGTTGGGTGTCTGCCTTCGGCTCAGGTCATGATCCCAGGGTCCTGGGATCGAGCCCCGCATCGGGCTCCCTGCTCAGCGGGAAGCCTGCTTCTCCCTCTCCCACTCCCCCTGCTTGTGTTCCTGCTCTCGCTAACTCACTCTCTCTGTCAAATAAAATTTTTTTAAAAAAAAAAAATTTGAAGAAACAAGTTGAAAAAATGGTTTTCTTGGTCTCTGTGTTTGGGTCTCAGTTACTTAAAGAAATAAAAGTATATATAATAGTGCTATTATTCTTTTAAAGAAAACATTTTTATACATTTAAGATATGAATCCTTTTGGATTTGGGTATAATTTAGTGCTGACTACATCGTTGTAGCCCAAGAAATCTGGGAGTCGGCCTGCTCTAAAGGATTTGAGGGGGATACAGATGGCAATATATGATGAAAGATACAACATTATGAGTCTCTGATGGATTTGATACTTCTGTAATATCCAGCTCACACGACTTGATACATTTTTCTTTATTATTTTTATTTGAAGTCGGAGCACCATAACATGGTGTGGGAAGTGAAGACAAATCAGATGCCTAATGCAGTACAGAAACTCCTGCTGGTGATGGACAAGCGAGCTTCGGGAATGAATGACTCACTGGAGTTGCTGCAGTGTAATGAAAACTTGCCATCCTCACCTGGATACAACTCCTGTGATGAGCACATGGAGCTTGGTAAACAAAATTAAGTTTTTTAGGAGTCTGAGATTCATATTTTTATGTTAAGTCAGCTTCTCCACCTGCCTTAAACTGCTTAAAAGTATGTGAAGTTTTTGTACCTTAGGAGTTTTCAATGTTCCATTGTTACTGCTTGTAAAATATTACTTAAAACCAACGTAACTTTGGACTGTGTATGGTTATCATCGAGACTGATTTACAAATTATCAAACTAAACTGCTGTCGTTGGTAAAGGTCGGGCCGGTAAACACCTCGGGAAAATCCTGTGTGTGGCTCATGTGACTTTTGAAACTGCTGGTGAGTGTAGTACATTATGCTCAGCCCCGCGTGGCCCGTTTGTGGCTTTGACGGGCAAGGTACAGCGGACCCTTGAAACTGGAGGGTCTGACATATATGGTCATCACACTGCTGCCGAGCCGACCCTGGGATGCGTGGCCGGTAGAAGTGTGTAGGCATGTGAAAGTAGGTCTTGGAATTGTACTGCTGGGACGTTGGTTTTGAGGAGTCAGCAGCCAGTGAGTGACCTGGGCTTGCGGCCCTGCTTTTCAGCTGGGCTCTTTCCGCATTTAATGTGTGGCTTGCCGAAATGTCCACAGAGCCATGATTAGCCTCCCTTTACGAATGATAGGACAGAGGAGGCTACATGCTGCTGTGCTCTTTGGGAATTTGGAGATCCTGCAGGTCTTGGGACATTTCCCAACGGGTTGCTGGGCTCTGCGAGTCACTGAGTGGTGGGTGCCGTTGAGCACGGAGCGCCTCCAGTCCACCATTTTCAGGAGGACCTCAGGAAGTTAGGGCCGGGGGGAGGGTGGCAAAAACTTGCACCACAACCCACTGCTTGGCTTTAAAAGCAGTTAATTTCCTGAGCTTGAAAGACAAATGAACCCTTTCCACCCAGTGACTAAAGAAGTGCTGGCCCCAGAAGGCCGTCAGCAGTGAGGGAAGGCGAACAGCTACAGCAGTGCGGGAGTTACAGGGTGGGGTTTGCCTAAGTTGCTGTGATGTTTTTCAGCTGCTCAAAGAGGGATGGCTTCTAGTCCATTTTTGGACTGGAGATCTTAATTAATACTTGTTAAGTAAGACATTTCAGTTTTCATGGGCTGTTCTACTTGCCTTGAATAGGAATTCTGTGTATTTTTATAGTAACAGTTGACCAGGACTCGCAAGGCTAGAAGAATTTCCTGACTTACATATTGAAGGAATCCAGTGGATCTGTAGTTTGTTTTAGGTGTGTTTCATAAAGTTTTTTTGAAGGCCTGTAAGAGGCTTTTTCTCCTCTCCTTTTTCTTTTTTTTTTTTTAGAATTCAGTCTTCCTTAGTGTTCATAGCCATGGTGTGTACTTGAGCCTTGGGAACACACCTTTAAGAAAACATAACCAACAATTATTATTGAGTTTAGAATTTCTCAGTCAGAAGAAATAATTTAGCATAGATTAAGTTCAATAAGTAGTACCTAAAACTTTATAACATGACCTATTGATCTCATCAGATTAAGTTGAATAAGTAGTACCTAAAACTTTATAACATGACCTATTGATCTCATCTTTAAAAATTGTTCTCTTTATTGCAGTAATCTTCTATAACAGGGTAATAAAGTATGGGAGTAAGTACATATGTGTACACATAAAATGCTTTTTTCCTCATTAACATGTTAACCTAAAAACATCTTGTTGGAATATGGACTAATCCGGTGAACTATAAAAAAAAAATCAGAATATGTAAACACAAACTTTTTCGGGTCTGGGAAGAGGTGTGGTCATTCAAGTCATCAGTACATTTACATCTTTTTGGTCTATTTCCCATCAGGCTCTGTTGACCCTGCAGTGTAGAAGGTGTCATTATTTAGATTGAAACTTGTTCATTCAAGAAAACATTTCAAATTTATACTTCTCACAAAATTAATTAGCTAGATTTAAGGACTTCTCTTCCAGCTGTAATTATAACATTATTCCCCGTGTTAGCAATTTACTTTTTATAATTTTGAGTGTTTTTATTTGCAGATGACCTTCCTGAACTTCAGGCTGTTCAGAGTGATCCTACCCAATCTGCCATATACCAGCTAAGTTCAGATGTTTCACATCAAGAGTATCCAAGACCATCTTGGAACCAAAATACCTCAGACATATCAGAAAATACTTATGGTGAAAATGAGGTGGATTGGCTAACAGAATTAGCAAATATCGCCACCAGCCCACAGAGTCCACTTATGCAGTGCTCGTTCTACAACAGGTGGGCACACTGGCTCTATTTTTATTGAAAACGTCTATCATTACAAAGAGCTACTTTTTTTTTCTAGTTTTAAAAGTAATAATGCTGTTAACCATCTAATGAATGGTCTACTGAAATTAGAATTTAAGTAGTCATTCAAATTACGTTCTTTGTTTTATAATGATCGCAGAGCTTTTTCACCTAATATCATGATTTCATACTTTGAGAAGTAGATAAAAGTGGTAAGAGAACCGCAGTCAAAAATATTTGTAAGTGTATTAAAGTCATCAAAAATTAAACCAGACCAAGAAATACTTTTATTATATACTTATCCTTATAGAAATGAAAATTATACTTGTCTAAAAAGTCATAATTATAATAAATGTTTTATTTTAAAATCTTACCAACCTTGAGTTTGGTTCCTTTTGGTCTAGGTTTATTTTCTTCCACAATGTATGTGACACTGGTGAAAACCATAATTGCTAATGTTAAAATCTAGAACTTAGTAAGAGTGGACTCCCATTGGTAAAAACCACTGTTTCATATACCCAGACCAGAGTTTCTGCAAATGAGTTGTTGTGCTATGAAATTATGGAAGCTTTGAACTAAAATTCCTAGAGAGACCTAAGTGGATAATGTTTCATTAATTATACCTAAAATTAGAAAATTAGCTATGTAAAAATACCCAGATAAATACGATAGTTTGTAGGGGAGAGAAAGCGGATTTGTACTCGCGTGGGTAGACAGTCCACATGAGATGATGTAGGGATAACTGAATTTTGGTAGTGCTTCTAACTTAATGTAATTCTTTGTTAAAAAATAAACTTTTCATGTGTGAATCCCTGGTTTTCTTGCAACCCATTGAGTTATGTTGTTTTTCTTCTGTTCAGCAGGATATTGGTCTCGATTAGGGCAAATTCAATTTAGTTAACTAAATTTTTCAGTTTAATCCCATGAAAAATTTCCCAGAAAGAAAAAATAGTCAAAAGGCTAAAAATTTGCTTATAATTAAAAAAACAAACCCTAATTTTCCCATTGGACTTTCTTTTTCCTAGTTTAGTGATAACACTTTTTTTTTTTATAGCAAACTTAAGAGAATTAATAATGGAACTCCTGGAAAGTTGAGTAAACCCCTCAGAAGATAATTGATATAAATAAAAACATAAGTAAAGGAGATACTCTTATAAACTTATTCTCTGTAGCATTTTCTGTGCTTCCCTTCTTCCTGGGGAACAAGACCAAGAGTCACACTCTGCTGTCTTGCCTGTCTTCTAACACTCAGTGGCTGTTTATGCAGCTTCTTGGAGCATGTTAAATGGTGTTAGTTAGTGAGCTTTGGATCTCTGAAGTCCATAACTGTACAATACCAAGGGGTTGGGGACAGGTACCATTTACATTACCCCTGCGTAGGTAGAGGGATGAAGAGACCTATGGTGTTGGTGTTTCACACACGTTTGGCATGTTAATTTTTACAGGCCATATGCATTTTAGAACATTGTGCTGTTACTTCTCCTTAAATGGTTCAACAAAAGAACTAATAAAACCTCAATTTCTTTTATTAGTCCTGAAGGCAGGGATATACTTAAGGAAGTTTAGCAGTTTGGCCATTCTCCAATATCATAAAGATCTAAATGTTTAATAAAAGGAAGAAATGGGCCAAAGATGAAACACTATTTGTATTTTGAAATCCAAAATTGATTGGAGAGTATGCTAATAAAATGCTTCGAAATTTGAGGGTTTTGTGTGTTTTTTTTTTAAAGATTTTATTTATTTATTTGACAGAGAAAGACACAGCGAGAGAGGGAACACAAGCAGGGGAATTGAGAAGAGGGAAAGCAGGCTTCCTGCAGAGCAGGGAGCCCGATGTGGGGCTCGATCCCAGGACCCTGGGATCATGACCTGAGCCGAAGGCAGATGCCCAACGGCTGAGCCACGCAGGCACCTGCTTTTTTTTTTTTTTTTAAGATTTGATTTTATTTATATGACAGAGCACAAGCAGGGGGAGCTGCAGGCAGAGGGAGAGGGAGAAGCAGGCTCCCCGCCGAGCAGGGAGCCTGAAGCAGGACTCGATCCCAGGACTCTGGGATCATGACCTGAGTTAAAGGCAGACGCTTAACCCATTGAACTACCCAGGCGTCCCTCAGGGGTTTTTATTTAAGAAGTGATATGGACATGAAAGCATAGTTTAATAGACCCTTACCAAAAAGTAACTTCTGCAAAGGCATAATGAAAGAGTGTTAATGAGGATAAAATAAAAATTGAAGGGCCAATAAAGTTTCTCAAGGAGTAAGGGAAGAACTAGAAAGTGAGATGTCCCTCCCCCTTCAACCAACTAAGAGGCTTAGTACAGACGTGTATACTTTGCTGTGTTACGGCCTAGGTCCCTTACTATTTGGCACCTCAAGACTGTCCTGATGTGGGACCTTCAGGCGGGTTGGTCTCCGAGAGCCTGCAGTCTTCCTCTCTGTTGCTTTCTGAACTCTTTTGAGTTCAGAGCATGGTGCCACTCACCCAGGCTGGGCATGCTTCTTACTGCTACCCCTCCCGGGAAGAGCTGACCTTTTTCTAAGGTGATCCTGGGGGAAAATAACTAGCCTTATGAGTAGATGCTTTTCAATAAGTTTGAATCAGAAAACAAGAAATAGTGTCCAGTTACAAGAAGTTGCAAATAGGCTCCTTTCTGCTATAATAAATTTAAGCATTTTAGCTTCAGGTAGTTCATTTTATCTGCCCAGTGACAGGTGGTTGGTAGATAGAAGGTTCCATCTTGGTCACGTTCAGCTTAGATGCCCTGTTCATACTGACTGAGTCAAAGTAGAAGAGAGAAGTGGACAGGGAGCCCTGCACATGATCCTTCATGAATGAGGATATGCATGTCTGAATAAAGGAATGAATAATTTGGAATTTTAAAATACATGGGTAAATATGAAAAAAGAACGGTATTTACCACGTGTGAAGAAGGCTTGGTTAAGAAGTTAAGGAATAGCGTACTCCAAGTGAAAACTTGATGTCTTTACCAGTGTTTTCGATAGGTGTCTTATATGTGACGAGTTGGTATTAGGAATATGAAGTTCTTTTCATCAAAAGGAAAGACCTACTGTGTAAGGAGCTCTGCATTATGGTTAAAACTGCTTCCTTATTTTAGATCATCTCCTGTACACATCATAGCTACTAGCAAAAGTTTACATTCCTATGCACGCCCTCCACCTGTGTCCTCTTCTAAGAGCGAGCCAGCCTTCCCTCATCATCACTGGAAGGAGGAAACACCAGTCAGACACGAAAGGGTGAGTGTATTCATGAACGTAAACTGTTAGCGAAGTTTGCACAACAGTTGAAATATGTTAACTTTCCTTTTCTTGGAAGTCCTTCTGAAGCATGCACAGCTGGGGAATTGTCTCATTGTTCTGCTAGCAATCTGGATTCGAGTTTATGTACGGCTCTTGCAACTTTGGGGAGTGTTTGTTACCAGTGGGAACATATATTGAACTAAAACTTCCAAAAACTTCAGTTTTCAAAGGCGTATTTTTCCTTAAGTTTACAGTGTTTAAGTTATCCACTCAGGAGGAGGGAGAGAGCCAGAAGCCTGAGGTAAAGACAGATATTAACAAAATATGTTGCAAAATAAAGTTTCTGATGTTTTTCTCCATAGGCAAATAGTGAGTCAGAATCTGGCATTTTCTGTATGTCCTCCCTCTCCGATGATGATGATTTGGGCTGGTGCAATTCCTGGCCTTCAACTGCTTGGCACTGTTTTCTGAAAGGTGAAAGAATGCTTGAATTTTTACAGCTGACTTGTGTAGCATGCTAGGCACATACCTAATTTTTTTTTTTTTTTTTTTTTTACTTAAACTTTAGGCACACGACTGTGCTTTCATAAGGGAAGCAAAAAGGAATGGCAGGATGTTGAAGATTTTGCTAGAACCGAAGGCTGTGATAATGAGGAAGATCTCCAAGTGGGCACTCACAAGGTTGATTTAAAATTCATAAAACTCTTCCAGATCTTTCGAAAGGAAACCTAGGCTTATTATTAATCTGTAGGAGTATCCTCCATTTACTTTCATACTTAAGTGACATATTTTAGGTAGAGGTTTTGTGACTGTGTTATGGCTTAGCCACATGGAGAGCGGCAGTGACTTCAGGTTTACCTTTGTAATTATGCTTTCTTAGATGGGCAAAAGATGTATCTCATAGCTCTTTTTGTATGTTTTACGTTGGGGAAACTAAACTGGCATTTCAAATAAAATGAACAAACGAACCAAGGCTTTTTCTTAGTCTACAAAGTGGTTAATTCCCAAATGGATAATTGAGAGTGATTATATTAAGTTACTTTTTAAATGACCCGATAAAACACTGGCATTTGTTTAAGTTAATAAGCAAAGGCAGTAGGTGGCAGCGGAAGGTTAAATGTTAGTTGGTATCTGTACAATCTTAATCTTTAAAATCTTGAATTTCTCCATCTCCACTGTAGGCAGAGAAGTTGGGCATGTGAAGTGTGCTTGTTTAAAATTCCTGTTTTGATCCTGCTGTTACTTACTGTTGAGTCTGGAGAGAACTAGTCCTGACTCAACTGCCTTAGTTTCCCCCTCTTGCTGTTACTCTTCATTTATGGTGAAGTTCGCCTAGTCTCACTTGGGCCTCTGCCATTCTACTCAGATTGTCTCAAAGGTTACTAGCTTCATTCTGATTTCTAGTGAGACTTCTTGCTTTGTTTGTCATCTTTGCAACATTTGACACAGGGAGTTGTCTTCTCTTGATTTGTGCAGCATGGCGGGGCTCCGGTTCTCTACTGTCTCCGTCTCTGTGGCTGGCGGCTTGTCTGCCCATGGTGTGGAGTGGGAGAGAAGGTTCTGCCCGTGGGCACTGTCTTCACCATTTCCCGTCTGCCGATACAGTCAGCCGCAGCCCCTTGGTGGGCCTGTGGAAGGCACCCCGGTCTTGGAGGCAGGAGATCTGGGCTCTGTTTCTGGTTCTTCAGCAACTGTGTGTGTGACTGATGTTGGGCAGATTGTTGACCCCGCCCTGTGTTGGCTTTCTGATCTGTAAAATGGGATTGAATTCCCTTGGAGGTCTCATAGCTCTAAGAATTAGAAGATTCTATAATTTCGTTTACAAATATATGGCTGTAGCTTTCCCCTGCATGTTGGACATCTGCACGTGGATATCAACCAGTTCTTTATGCTCAGTTTGTTCATATAACCGAGACTGGACTCACCTTTTCCTTCCCCTTCCTGGCCTGCTTTTTCTCCCTTCTTTTAAAGATATTGTTAACCTTCCATTGGCTGATTAAAAACCAAGAAGTTGACTATTTCCCCCCTCCCTTCATAGTTAGTGGATCAGTTCTAATTCCCTAAAGATGCTTTGCAGTCACCCTTCTGGTTCTGTCACTGGAGAAACGGTTGTGTGCTAAAGCTAGCTGGTGACCTGTCGGTCTCCATGTTTTTTTTGTGAATTTTAGGGATCCCATGTAGTTAACGTGTTTTCAGAACCTAGCATCTGGCATGTGCTGACTGCTCAATAAATATTGGTTGATTTACATTTAGCCTGGTTCTACCACCGCAGCACTTGTCAGTTTAAGATTAATGGGTTTCTTTCCTCATGTCTTCAAAGAAATTGAATATGAGAGTCACCTTTTATCCTGCAGACTTTATCATCTTCTTAAAATTGACAGTTGTTAGTAAAATACTTTCATTGACTTGCAGCACCCATTCAAAGGAAGGTTTGAGCACGTCCCCGTCATTAAGACTCCTCGACTTACTAACTAGCCCCTCCTTTTTGGCTTCTTTGCCTAACCTCTGAACTCCCCTGTATTTTTAGCAAATACTTGCCACTCTTCAGAGAAGTCGCTGGTTTCAGCTGTTGCTGGCATTGAGGCCTGTTCTTCTAACTTCTGGGTTTAGAAGTGGGAATTGAAAGCCCTTCCTAGTCTCTCTTTTAGAGTTTATACCTCCCTTCATTAAAGTCCATTAGCATTGTTTACACTTCAGTTAAAGTGCTATTCCAGTCTGCTTTACATTGTAGTGGTTTATAGATGTGCCTTTCTTCACTGGTGGGTGGAAAGCAAGGACCTTAAAGACAGGGATGCTGACTTGTTTATTGTTACCTTTTCCACAAAGTCTTACATGTGATAGGAACTTCACTATGTGTTGAATTAAACACTGCCTGTTTGTTCACTCTATGCATGTATTTTCAGGGCTATGGTTCTGATGGTCTAAAGTTGTTATCACATGAAGAAAGTGTATCATTTGGTGAGTCTGTACTGAAGTTGACTTTTGATCCCGGTACAGAGGAAGACGGTTTACTTACTGTAGAGTGTAAGCTGGACCACCCTTTCTATGTTAAGAATAAAGGTAGGGCTTCAATTTGATTTTATAGTAACTTTTTAAAGAAGACTTCTTAAGTCTATTATTATGTCTTGTGGCATAATTCTTTGGTGATTAAGAAAAAAAAAACTTGAAGGGTGAACTTCTTTCAAACTACAGAGAACTACCATAGGAAGTGCCTTATCACAATACCTACTGATGTGTATGCGTTTTAGCAGGAGTCACCTCCTCCTCTTAGACTCCTGTAACACACTCTACAAGCAGCTCTCTGTATCTTTGTATAGTTTGGGGAATGGAGTATTCTGGTAATTGCATTTTGGTTTAGGGTTACCAAATATGCTATATATCTGAATCACTTTTCCGAGGTCTATTGTAACACCGTGTGAAAAATGGTAATTCAGACGCTATTTCATGGTCTCAGTCATCATCATCTATCACTTATTATCTTGTAAATTGTGGAAGCGCCGATTGATAGACTCTGTATATTAATAAAATGCTGAATTAAACTAGTTTTGGAGAGCTTTTGCATTGCTTGAAGAAAATACTTGGACTTGCTTTGTAGCAGAGATACCGGACATGTTAAAAATCTGCTGGAACTGGACTAAAAACTTTTTAAGGCTCAGAAGTGATAGGTATATCAGAGAATAAATTAGGGTACCTTCTGTCCATCCTCATCCTTTATGTAACTGCTGTTTGATTTAATTTTAGGTTGGTCATCATTTTATCCAAGCTTGACTGTGGTACAGCATGGCATCCCATGTTGTGAGATTCATATTGGTGATGTATGTCTACCTCCTGGACACCCCGATGCCATTAATTTTGATGATTCAGGTGTTTTTGATACATTTAAAAGGTAATATTGGGTTAATTCTTTTTTTCTGTTAATGTTTACCTTTAATCTCTAATGATTGCTAAGTCAGATATTTAGGAGGTTAAACCTAAAAGATTTGAGAATTATAAAAGGACTACTTAGAGCAAGTATGTACATGATGAAATGAAAAAATACTACGTAATTAAAGTAAAATAATAGTTCAAGGGGAGCTTTTCATAGAGTAGTCGTATAAGAAAACCAGGAGTTCATAAAACATTTGGTACTAGATTAGGAAAAATACCACATGTTACGTGACCAAGAACTACAGAGATGAGCTTTGATAGTTAATATACATATATATATAAAATTGCCATATCCTGCCAGCTGTTTTCACCAGGCCACAAGTCTCCTAATACTGTTCTTTTTTGTAGTTAATTGTTACCCTTTCTTTTCTGTCCTTAACTGTTCCTTTAATATTCATTTCAACCAAGGGCATTAGTTGCATGAATTAACAGTAAAAATAGCAAAAAACTGACATTTGGAAAATCTTAAAGAGGGAAGTGATTTTTCTTGAGAACAGAGTCAGTACCCATGTGTCCTGACACTCAAGAAGGCTGATCTGATCAACTGTCTCAGTTTGTGTGCAACTTTACTGGTTTCAGCACTGAAAGGCCCACGGTCCTGGAAGCCCCACAGGCCTGGGCACACTGGGGTCGGGGTGGTTGGTTACCTACGCCTAGGAATTATCCAGAGACAGTGTGTGTGTAGGATCTGGGATTTTAAGACTCATTTTTTTCTTTAAGATAATTATTAAAATCAGAATTCCTGCTGGCCTATAGGTTTTAGTTCACTCATTTTAACATAATAAAACATAATGTTAATAATATATTTTTATTTCAAAAGGATATGTGAGGCTATTATTTTAAAAAAAAGAACTAGCACAGGCCCTGGCACAGGTTATATGCTCAGTAAACATTTGCAGATTGGAATCTAAATGCTGTTTGATTACATCCCTCATATATACTTTTCTAAAAATTATAGAGAAATGAGACAGTTTGAAAATCTGATACTCTAAACATTCTTAGGGTGTAGGTCAGTGATACCTCACACAATTTGGTGAGAATATTCTAGAGATAGAAAAACTTTGGAAGATAATTTGGCTTTGTTTTATAACACTGACTATCTGTAGTAGTTGTACCTAGAGAAGTATGTGTACCGTAGAGAAGAAAATTCTCATAGACACGCACTGGGAGAGAGAATCAGGTCATAGCTGTGCTGCTCAGGATAGCAAAAACATGGAAACAATGCAATAGTCATCAACTGCAGAGTGAATACATAAATTGTGATGTAATCATACGATGGAATTCTTTTTATAAGTGGAAGATGAATGAGCCGTAGCCATACATTGTAAAACATGGATCAGTTTTAGAAATAATGTTAAGTAAAATTAGTCTCAGAAATATACAGTATCATTCCATTTTTCATGGAATCAGATGTTCTTTGGAAATATAACAAAATTACAAATCTAATTACATTTGTGTAATTTTTTATGTAGTATATATAATACACATTATGCAGTTATGCTAGGGATTCAGCGATGTAGTAGGATGACTCACAGGATTTAGTTTGTAGTCACATTCATGCCTAAGATTTCTTATAGTGAAGGGATACAAAGCAAAATCACAAAAAGGCAAGGCACGTGGGGTGAAGTCTGGAGGAAGCCAGGCTTCCAGGACTCGTCTCCCAGTGGAGTCACACAGTGCACGCTTCTCTCTCTCGGCAGTGACTGCTGACAACAGGTATTACTGGGCATCAGCCAGGGAAGCTGTTGGACGCTCAGTACCAGGGTCTTACTGGGAGGCGGTGGCCTAGGCTGCCTCTGCCTTGCACGTACCCAAATCCCAAACTTCCAAAAGGAAAGCAGGTGTTCAGGGTAAACCATGTTGTTTGTACACACAGTTTAGGCACAATGAGCCACTCTTACCAGTTGTGGAATGATGAGAACTCTCCTTGAAATCCTAATCCCAGATGCTAGTAGAGGGCCAACCTTGTACGGATGCCCTTGAAAGGAGAGCAGTCTGGCCTGCCGTGTTACCTCTTTCTTGTGTAACAAGACTTTTACATATTACGTGTTGATACAATTGATGTATTAACATAGTTAATGCTGCTATAGTGTTTATATGTTGTGTTTATGAATTTATTATTTTTATAATGTTGAAAAAGTAAGGGGATGATAAACCATTCAGGAGAGTGGCTTTCGCTGGGGGGTGGCAAATGTGGAACTTTAGTGATAGAAATATTCTATTTCTTAATTAGGTTGTGGGTGTACTCATTTATTTGTACACTCTGTAACAAAAGTTATATACATTTTTTATCAAGTCTTGCATAGTGTAAAACTTTCTTTTGAGGAAAAAGGAATACTAGGCTACCTAATTCCTGCTTTTCCAAGGTGGTAGCTTCCCATCACTAGGTCCCACTGAATAGCAGTCACTCCTGAGATGACCTTAGACATTGGGCTCATTTTCCTGTGGAGTGACAGCAACACCCTCCTTTCTGCTCCTCATAAAGGATTGGGAAATGGGCAGTTTCATCCAGGAGAAACCATGACAGAGTTGAGAAACATGAAGTTGCCTACATTTTCGCTGTGGGTTAGATTATGACTGGGTGGGTTAAGGGGAGTGCTGCCTGGCATGAGGGCGAGAAGGTAAAGAACGGCAGGAAGAAGAAACCCTCGTCTGAGAGGGAACCCGAGAGTCCATTGCCCCGACTGTTTGGGGATTCGGGGCCAGCTCTTGGGTTATGCTGTATAGAGGACATCTGAGTAGATTTTAGCTTGGTAGGGACCAGAAGTTGGCCATAGATGAGCTCTTAAACACAGTTCCCAGTTCATTTGTGGAAAGGAAGCTTTTAAGTGAGAGCATGATTTGGAGAAGCCCACTGGAGACACAGAATTGAGGCCAGTCTTCTAGGTGTCAGGCAGTTTTCAGTCACTTCTGACTCTGCAAAGTTGGCATTTCTGTTCGAGTGATAGAATTTAACACACCTCGCGGGTGCCCATCGTGTCCCCGGTGCTGTGCACGTGTCACCTGAGCTCCTCTTCCCTACCCGATGAGATTACATCCTCCCTTTACCGGAGAGGGGCGTGGGGGGCGGTTCAGGAACTAAAACAGCCCTTAGTATCAGAACCAGGTTTCAAGTCTGTATCATCTGAGGATTCACCAGTCTAGGCTACTTCTGTGCTCACAGGACTGCTGCGCGCCAGTCTGTGCCCTGGGTCTTGTGGGCACGGCCCTGTCGGCTCTGCAAAGCTGCACGGTCTGTGTCACATGCGTCTTGGAGAGACGTTACCTGAGGTACATGGTTTATTGAACCTGCTGGAAGAGGTGGGGTTTGAACCCAGTTAAAATTTTACATTATCACATTATCCAGCATTTATTTTTTTTTACCTTTTCAGTTGGTCATCAAATATTTGAGAGCCTGGTGTGTGTGCCGGGCGTGGGGATTTAAACTGTGCTAAGCCCTGGGCCTGCCTCTTGGCTTCGCCTCGGGAGAAGGGCGGGGCCTAGTGAACGTGTGCGGGGCGGTGTGTGCGCGTGAGAGGCCGCAGGGCCTGCTGGGAACGGGAGCTCCGGAGCCCGGCCGCCGCGCCCCAACCCCGCGCCCAGCCCCCAGCTTTGCGGCGGGCGCGCTGGGGAAGTGAGGGACAGCGGTGAACTTTTCAGTGGCTCTTTAAAAAAAAAAAACCTGTAAAATCTGTAAAATGAGCATCACGTTGAAGGGAGGATTCAAGTGAGTATCTGGTTAACAGACATGTACGCTTCACAGACTAACCCTGTTGGCGAGTTTTTCTTCCGAGGGGGACTGTAGTGAAGGTGGGAAGGGTGACCTGAGCGAGCAGCGGCGGGGAGCCGGGGCGCAGGCGTGACCGCGGGCGCGGCGCAGGACCCCGCGGCCGTGAGGGGCTCGCGCGGCGAGCGTAGCGAAACGTGAAGCTGTTAAGACATTCTCTGTAACGTTTTGATGCCGTTGTTCCCTCAGAATCCAGATTTCGGTGATTAAATATTTCAAGCTAAGTAAGTTGTATCCATCATGGAAACGGAGGGTAGGCTCCATTCGTACCACTAGATGGTAGAGTTTTCAAATTGCAGTAGTTCATGAGCTTGCCTCAGAAGTTTCTTAAATCTTTTTGGTATTTCAGATTGTAATCAAATACTTCCTTCGGGGGAGATTAATAATTGTATGTCAGGTTCATTTATAATGCTTAATTTTGCCGTTTTTCTAAATTATACATGGGAGGCGCTTGAGGACAGCCAAAAATTGTTTCTTTGACGTGATCCTGACTGCTAAGCATTGATTAGATGGTTTTGGAGTCAGAACATTGAGTTCATGTAATCTCTCTAAAAACCACACGTGGTGTGGTTGATAATTGGTAGAAGTCTTTTTTATTGTGTGCAGTGAATGGCCCAGGCCTCATGCACTTCGCTCTCTCCATCCCCGTCTCTGGAATAATTCGTAATACCTTTAGGTAGATACTTAACTGTATCTGATTCCTGTAGCTAATATCAACCTGTTGTGATAGATTGCCAGAACTTCTGTTTCAGGGAGAGAGTAGGGGCCAGATTTAGAATACAAGGTTTTCTGTTAAGATAAAAGGTATAAGCAGTAGGTGTTAACACATTTGGAACCAAAGGAATCTTTTGACAGGTGTAATCTTTAGGCTGTCATCTACATTAGCTCTACTTTTGAGGTAATATTTTCAATGAGTCTGATTATTGTTTGTTCACTTTGATGTCAGCCAGTGGCAAGACGGAGCACCGTGGTTTTAGTGAGGAAACCTAGGGGTTTAGGGGTGGACGGATCTGGGCCTGGATCTAGTAGCTGTGGGGCCTTGGGTGAATAGTACTTGTTCCTTTTTTTGGCCTGTTTCTTTATATAAAGAGAGGATAATGATACTCACTAAGCAAGCTTGTTGGGAAAATGAGAATATGGGTAACTTGTTTCCATGCTCGTGTAAACTGAATATACTTAACAAAATACGGCCTTGCCTGATCAGTGTGAGTTCTTACTTTTAAGTTATGAAGCTGTGTTCTATTAGATGGATGCCCTTTAGGGGCGATGGATGTATACATGACTGTTTTGACCTAAACAGACAAAAAATTTTAAGTTCCTTTAGCTGTATTCAACCACTTTTGACTGTCCTTCCCCAACACTTGGTCTTGTGTAGCACTTAGGCCTGGTATATGCCCTGCTGCTCCATTTTAATTTTCTAGCTGTTTTTAGGCTTCTTTCGGCCAAGAAATCAGATTATCAAATTTGTCAAAAAGTGAATCTAGAGTAGTAATTAAGTGGGTTGCATGGGATCTGGAGGAGGTACTTGCTATGAATAAAGTGCGTGGATTATAACATTCTTGTGGGGGGCTTGAAGTTTTCTTAACTTTTGTATTCTCTGCAGATTTTTAAAAAAATAATTTTAGTGCATATACAAGCTGTCAGCTTATAAGCAACTATTGATGGTGAAGTTATTAAACTTGGTTAACATTACATACATTGAAGTTTCCGATCAGGTGTTAAGGTTTTTGTTTTTGTTTTTTTGTTTTTTTAAATCCTGTTTTTACAAATCAAACTGAATTAAAACCATGTTAATAAATTTTTTTTTAGCTATGACTTCACACCTATGGATTCTTCTGCAGTCTATGTGTTAAGTAGTATGGCTCGTCAGCGTCGTGCATCTTTGTCTTGTGGAGGGCCTGGAGGTCAAGACTTTGCAAGATCTGGACTCAGTAAAAACTGTGGCTCACCAGGATCATCACAGCTCTCTTCCAATTCCTTGTATGCTAAAGCTGTCAAAACCCACAGCTCAGGGACTGTGAGCGCCACTTCTCCTAACAAGTGCAAAAGACCAATGAATGCCTTCATGCTTTTTGCCAAAAAATATAGAGTTGAATATACTCAGATGTACCCAGGGAAAGATAACAGGTAAAAAGAGTATTTATGATTCTAATAATTAACACTCCAGTGCAGTTTCACAGGAACTGGGATAGTTAAGTAAACTTACCCTCCAATAGCTTTTATCAGCATTATTATTACTATTTAAAGATTCTGTTGACTTATTTGAGAGAGTGAGAGAGCATGAGAAGAGGGGCAGAGGGAGAAGGAGAAGCAGGCTCCCTGTTGAGGAGGAGCCTGATGTGGGGATCAATCCCAGGACCCCAGGATCATGACTTGAACTGAAGGCAGACGCTTAACCTACTGAACCACCCAGGCACCCCCCAATAGCTTTTATTATTGAATTCGTTTTCTTAGGTTGACTATAAAAAGTTTAAGTGGAATTTTTAGGGTCATGGGTAAATATTTTTATAACACCTGGAGAGACTTTAGGTTACCTAAGGATCTGCCTTCTAAAATAGTATTAAATGTTGTTTGCCTGTTGGAAGTCACAATTCTAACAACTGACTGTTCTGTAGAAAAGTTTCTTCAGATCCCAAGGATGTCCTCACAACTGTGTCATACTATGGAATGTGCAGGCAGTGGCCATTTGTAGTCTTTTGACAAATGTGGAAATCACTATAAACTGCCAAAGACTAAACATAGAGGTGTCCTCAGTTAGAACCCAGGGATAAAACTGACTCTAGGCCTTTCTACTCGGTTTACTTACACTCTTAGCTCATCTGTTAGCATCCTCTACTCACTTCCTCTCAAACCAGCCGTATTTTCCATGTATTAAAATTACTTCTTCCAGTTTTTCCAGTTCCCTGACAATCAATACTCTCTTCCTTGGTATCATGAGAAAAGTCAAATGATTATCCACATAAAGTAACTGAGTTTTGAACTTGAGTTTGAATGTCTCATGAGCTTAATTGCTGTATAGAGGGAGTGGGAGTGGACATAGTTTCAGGTCAGCATAATGCTTTGAAAGCTGTAGGCACCATGAAACCATCGCCACAGGAAGTCTGGTTCTCATCTGTCACCACACAGTTACAAATTTTTCTTTTAACGGGAACTTTTAAGAGCTACTCTTCACAACTTTCAAATGCACAGCCCAGCGGGACTAACTGTGGTCACTGTGTAGCACCTTACAGGCCCATGACTGACTTATTGTACAACTGGAAGTTTGTTCCTTTTGACCCCCTTCACCCATTTCATCCACCCCCCACCCCTAGCCTCTGGCAGCTACCAGTCTCTTCTCATGAGCTAAATTTTTAAGTATTTACATTTTAAAAAGAGAAACTTCTCAAACCAAATGCACCTCTGATTTGGGAATTGATAACCTAAATGTTTCTTACCGATTTAACTGGTAAATGTGTCAACCGTGGTACCTTTAACCCAGAGACTATAAAAACTGGGTTTTATTTTAATGAAGATGCAATACAATGTTTAATTGCATCAACTTATTGGAAAAAATATATATATACACACTTGTCTGTATTTACTACATACTGAATTCCTGGTAGAGCTGTGCTTCCTGTTCTAGCCCAGCGCTAGCTTCCACGTCAGGCACTGAGCTCACCCGTATCTCCTTTGTGCAGCGTATGTGACCCTTGTGTCATGGAGTTAATGGTTAAAAGCTCTCCACAGAAGGAAAATGGTTTCTGTTTGCATGTTCTGGATGAGACTTACACTGGTTTTGGGAGATTAACAAATATAAATAGGAAACAGCTTCAGATTTCTATCATGATGTGTTTTATTCAGTCGGACTTCTTTCCCTTTGAGTTTATCCA